TTGAATAGTGATATGTAAATAGAATTCAATAGCACGAAATCATTGATCTCTGTAATATACTCACATAAAAGATATTAATCATAAATCACAGAATTTATGACTAGAAATGCACAACAATCATGAAGTTTAATGTAGAACATAAGGCACACTGAATTTTCCAAAGAGATAGTAGTATATCACAATCTACTAAAACCTAAGGAACACATATTCTTTTGGATATTCTCTGCCTGTTTCTTTCAAGATAATAAACTTCATTTTTAAAAGATTTAAAGGACATATAGATGCTCTTGTATAATATAAAGGATTTTGGTCAGAATCAGGTATCTTTTCGAAAGTAACTGAGAGAAGCCACAAAGATAGCACAAAATGCAAGCTATCCAGTAAAGACTCAAAGAAAATGCTCAGTCTAACATCTGAGCAGGATGAGGGAGGACTATAGGAGATAAGTTAGTGAACAATAGACTATTCTACCAGACAGAATAGGCACTGGATGTTTTGGAAAAATGGAGCTATTGTTTGGAGCCAGTGTATGAAGACACGGGAGGGAAATAGTCAATTCACCTGTTTACTTACATAGTTTATGGGTTGATGATTTGCTTTATGATCTCATGACCTTCCTACTAACAAGAAGTTTAAAAGACAAAGCCCATCTAAACATTTTATATGAGGAAGAGGGCCTGTGTCCATAAAATACCTAGTAACTGCTCTATATTTTCTACATGCATAAAATACACAGGTAATGGTGACAGTCATTATTACTGTCACTCAAAATAGACAATAATAGCAGCTCCCTGAATGGGTGTTTATCCTTGGGTAATGATATTGACAATATTTATTCAATTCTTTTCAACTGGTTTTCCTTTGATTCTACCTTGGGAAACATGTTCTAAGAACATAATGTATATCCCAAGATACGTGCCATCTGAAAATTTTATTTACAGTATATGAAGAAAAATCCTTACCCTGCAAGGAGGCGGCTCAGACCAGGGGTGAAGGGTGTAGTCTCAGCAGTTGGAGACCCTGGCGCAAATCTTGACTCCACTGGTCACGTAGTGAGTGCTGCTAAGCGACTTAATTCTGTGCCTCTGCTTCCTCATCTATGAGATGGAGGTACAGTAGCACCTATCCTATTTAATGAGGTATTATGTGTAAATCACTTCTACTCGTGAATATAATAAAGATCAGCCATTACCAGTAACATGTTCACAATGCGACTACTACAGAGGAAAAGCTGTGAAGAGTCTATGCTGGAGAAAATGCTCCTTCAAGGGAAACTGGTTATGTGAGCTCCGGTATGGCCACGAGGGCAGAGACACTGAATTTCATCACAATATTCTGAGTACCTAACACAGAAGGCAGTTTACACAAGGGTTCTTGCAGTCTGGATTTCACTGTAAAATATCCAAGATACACACTGGGTCACATTTGGGACATCCCTGAAATTCACATCACAAATTAGTGAAACACAGACTATTCCTCTAGAAACACAGCCAAGGTTGTGTCTCAGTTTAAACGGTAGCATGTGCTGCATCTTACATTTGATGCAGTCTGTGGCTGACGGAATAAATGGTCCTTAACCTAATCTCCAGACCCTGTCCATGTTGTCTCCCAAAGCAAAAGGAGCTCTGCAGACTTTGTGATGGGGTGGTTAACCTGGGTTATTCTGCTGGGCCCACTGCAGCCAGGGCCCACAGGGGTCCTCATTAGCCGGAGGGAGAGTCAGGGTAATAGAAGATAAGATGTTAGCGGCTGAGTGTGGGATGGTCTGAGGAGAAACCACAGGCCAGGGAACGCTCAGAGCCTCTAGAAGCTGAAAATGGCAAGGAAATGATTCCCCCCTGAGCATTCAGAAGGAACCAGCTTTGCTAATACCTTGACTTAGTTCAGGCTCATTTTGGATTCCTCACCTTCAGAGCTGTAAGGCAATGTTTGTGTTGTTTTAAGCTACTAGGTTTGCAGGAATGTGTTATAGCAGCAACAGGAAACTAACACATAATCTTAAAGTAGGTAGAAAAAAGTTCTTTCTGACTTCTAGTATGTAAGGCCTTTTTATGTTCTGAATTTCCACTTATCACCATCAGAAGTAATCAATATAGACTACTGAATGAATGGTGAATGGAATAGTTTACAGCTCTTAAAATCATCTTTACAAAATGTTCATAATAAAATAGATGTCACTTGACAAAAGAGAATATCAATTTGTATTGCAATTAAATCATGCTATTGAATGAGTAAACATCAAGATATCCATATACGAATTGTAGAAGAAAATTAATTAAAATATTACCAGTAATTGTTTCTGCATGTTAGAACTATCAATAATTTTCTTTCTACATTTCTGCACCATCCCACACTTTCTATAGAGTGGTATCATTTTCTGACTGAAAAGCACATCAATTTTATTTAAAAACCAGACTGCAGAATAACATGAAAAGTAAAACGCAATAGAAACAATATTAGTATACTCGATCCTTTTATGTACCAACACTTTTAAATCTGAATAGTAATTTAAGATCTTCAAAAGCATAGGTCTAGCATGACCCAAAGTACGTGGTCACCACAGATCTGTGCTTTGATTTTGCAAATATTCATTAGCTTTAATAATGGTAAAGTTGTGATTACTACCTTCAGAAACATCCACTGACCAACCACATAAGCTGTGTGGCCACAGCTAGGTATCATGTAGGTAGTGATTTAACTGGATTTTAGCAATTGACTCAATGGGAAGGAAAAAGGAAAAGGAAAGAAAAGATGAGCAAACATGCAAATGATTCTGCCTCACTTAAATGTGGAAAGACAGGAATTATCCCTATAATGACTGGGCGATCATGAATAAGTCATTCCACCATTCTTGTCATCAGGGTAAAGGGCTATTATCTCTAAGGTTCATCCTAGCTCTAACATTTTATAAATACATGGATATGCTGGCAAAAATATTCCACACACACGTGGATATTTAGGCTCTGATTATTAAGCAATAAGAAAGATTCAAAAAGGCAAATGTACAAAACAAAGCAGTGTTATTTTGAAATCTCGTTTTGTAGACATACAGGGATTGCTTTTACTAAAGGACTAGCTTTTACTAGGTCATTTGCATTGTGCAATTTGCTGCTGATATTATCACCATCAGTTTTACTTCACAGTGGACTGAAAGACTTAAACACATGAGCTCTTAGAACAATAACAGCAGCCCAACATCTGGCTGGTCACCGAGACTTTCAGCTTGTCACTTGCCAGCTCTGTGATGAATGTACTCATAGCCTCTGGTAATGTCCACTTTGTTCCATGAAAATAGAGCCTGTTAACAGAAGTTAATGCAAGCATTCCAACTAAATGCAATACCTGGTCATTTCTCAATAACTATGATGTTAAAGGGGATGCCCTTTCTGGAATATGCAAGATTGAAATGTCCTAGTTGGAATATTTATTACATATTTTAGGAAATATTGATAGAATACCTACTTTTGGAAGAAAATGCAAGTTATTTAATGAAGATCTTTTTAACTTAATGAGCCATGTATGGTGGGATAAATTATACACAGATTTAACTGTAATGAGAAACAGAAAGGTCAGTGTGAAAGAACAGTGTAAGTGTATTACTTCAGAGAGTTTCAGAGATGAAAAAGTGTCAGCCATCCGGAGATAAAGATGGTCTAGGGGAGCTTAGGGGGTACTGGCATTGAAGGCTATGTGGCTCTAAAGAGGTGGAAGAAGAGGGTTCTCCTGGTGGAGCAAAGGGAGTGTCAGCTGTGTCTTTGCGGCATGAAGCATGGAGGCCCATATGGAGCAGAGCTGAGAGTGAAATAGGACAGAGTTTCTACTCCAGGTTGGGGAACCATGGGACGAAGACTGAAATGATACCTAAGATCTGGACTGCAAAAGGCCTCAAGTGCCTGCCTAAGGGGATTAACTTTGCTCAAGAAAGCCCTATAGGACTTTAAAACTATTATCTAATTGATGGCATTCACTGATCCCCATTAAAAAGGCACAGGTAATTTTAACCCTACAGTTTTAAAAGCCATTATAATTTCTGCCTCAACAAATGAACAAAATTCCAAGCAAGCTTTCTGCACATTATACCATGAATTAAAAGGGAGTGCTTACATGTTTGAAACTCTGCGAAGATTTCCTTATCATCACCCTAGTATCAGTGGTACGATTTGGCGCTGGCAGAGGGGTGTCCCCAAGAAGATGTTAGAGGGAAAGTTACTCACCCAGGGGACACACGAAACCCAACCTTTTGGGGGACAGAGAGTGACCTGGCTGTGTGAACTGTGTTGGGTGGTTTCTTATCCTCCCCACTTCCAGCCTGCTACATGCTCAGGCCTTGCTCTGGTGCCCATACACAGTTCCAGGTCCTCACACCAGTTAGGTCCTGGCACTGGTACTAAATCTGCATTTTGTGCATGAAGTCAGAGCACCAGTTCAACACAGGGGTCCTCTCTTGTGTATGTGTATGTGTGTGCATTTATATATCAGTGTATAAATACACACGTTTTGCCAAATGAAAACAGCAGCATATATCACCACTTTATTTTTATGTCATTCTGTACTAAAAGCATATTTTTTCTCCATAGTTTGTGAGGGTATTGAGAGCAGGCTCACCACATTCTATCACACACTCCGTCAATACTCAATTAGCATTTATTCATTAATTGATTTAAGTCAAGTCCTTCAGCCCCCAACATATGCTGAACTACCTCCTGCGGTTAGGAGAACAGCTGGTTAGCATACTTGGTCTAACAGGACATAAATGTGTGGTTTCTATTTTCCTTTAGGTCTGTAAAAAGCAGGATAGCTTGTTTCTTTAAAAGCTTCAGAGATAAGAGGCTTGAACTCATCATATGAAGGTCATCTGTTAATATGTCCGTGTGTGCCTGAGTGTGCATGAGATCAGCCAGCCGAAGCCCACCAAGCACATGCTATTAAACCCCAGTGATGTCAGCAAGTGGACACAGCCCATGTACTGCTGGGCCTTCCGGGCTCTGCCTGCCACGTACCTCAATAAAGAAGATGCTGGCTGCTGACGTTGGATGGTGATACATGTAGACGGTCACCAGGATGGCTGCTGCTATAATGAGGACCAGGAGGAGGATTCCAATGATGAGGCCAGCATGGAGGGCTCTCCCCGTCTTCTCAGCTGCACTGTCATCTGTCGAGGCTGAAAGAACATCCCAGCTGTCAGGGCCTTCATATGTGAACCCTTAAGTGAATTTTCACTTGGAGGGAAATTTATGTTTTTAATAAAGTAACACTGAATCTTTTGTTTTCCTTCTACTTCTCGTTCGACTTTTCTTGTCCATGCAACCAATTTTAGAGGTTTTTTAGCAGTGGAAACTCCATATATTAATGAGTAAAAGTAAATTTATAATTGTATTTTAATGTCCAGTTCAATAAAGAAAATAGCCTTTATTCTAAAAGTACTACGACCAATCTCAGACTCTAACTGTACAATAAATATAACTTTGACTCATTCTCATTAAGCCAACAAAGTTGCCTACAAAAAATTAATTACTTCTTGCGAGTTCCTCTTTCATTTTCTTTTGGAAATTTTAACTTGAAGAGTTTCAGGTGTCTTTTGGTGGGTGACATAGGCATTTTCAGAAAGTCTGTGCATGAACTGAAATCATAATTTTCAAAATCTGTTTTAAAGCGAAGTGCTCTTTAAAAGCAAAACAGATGCATGCTAAATGACCCTCAAATAGTTTTATCACTATCTAAAGGGAAAACCACAGCATATGAAAGAAAATATTCCACTATGCCACAGCTTGATATCATTTTCTCTAACTTCTAGAGATGCTTGTCACTATAATGCACATTTTCAGAACTAGGAAGAGGAATTTAATTTCTAAACTAATAACTATCCAACACTAAGTCAATCAACCAAATAAAACTAATCTCTGAAGTCTTCTCTTGTTCTAAGATTCTGTAATCTTTGATGACTGCTCAGGCATTTAGACCTTCTTAAATTAGATGCAGCAGGTAACTGTGTCTTAGTGTATAATATGATTGGTATTTCTGAATCATTAGATAATTCCTTAAGGCTCTAAGAAGTTCCAGACCAGTGGTTCCCAATCCTTTTATTAACAATTTACCTCTTTTTTTAATCCTTATCTCTTTGTTAAGCACTCTCTTCTGTCCGTTAAGCCTCATTTAATAAGTACAGATTTCTGTTATTTTCAACTTCTGCTAATAAAAACAAATGTGACCTATCAGAATAAGAGACACATATGAATTTACACAATTCCAGAAACAGCAAAGAAACACGATCTTAATGCTTCACATCTATCCTTTAAATTTTTGTTGCTATTGTTTACTCTTCCCTGGAGACTCACCGCTGATGTTCAGCAGTCCTCCAAATTTAATGCTCAACTTCCTAAGGGTTCCCCTTACACAAAAGAAATTCACTAGTGAAAGAAGATCAAATTTCAGGAGTAATTCATTATATAAAAATTCATTTACAATGTGCCAGGTGGGTTTGTATTGTTTTGTGAATACCAAATCCACAACCTGCGAGGTAGGCATTCTTACCAGTCCTTTTCGAAAGATGAAACCAGGTCAGAAGGAAACTAAGAAATACGCTAACACTGCAGAACTATTAAGATGGAAGTGGGCTCAACACAAGCAGGCTGGCCTCAGAGTCTGAATTCTGAATATTTCTCTTATGGATATTTCTTCAATTTACAGTGTATTGTATGTACTGCTATTTCCTCTTGTTTTGTGTCATGAGTTCTGGCAAAGAATTCTGAAAAGACCCTCACAATTTCACATTATGAAAAATTAATTTAAAAGATGGTGAAAGAATTAATATGTGCTTCCCAGAGTTCTTTCTGGTCACTTCTCTGTGAGTAAGGTGTAAAGTCAGTGTTTGGGAAGTGGGGAGGAAGAAAAAGAAAAGAAAAACAAAGCCTGTTGAAATGGGCTATAGCTATCATAATTACCACTTCTTCAATAAAAGTCAAATGAGGCCATAATAGATTACTTCATCTGTCTGGTTTTCAGTTAATATATCTCCATAATGTGGTTGATAACAGTAATTACCCAACAGGGTTGCTGTGAGAACTCAACATTTAATACATAAAAAGTCTTAGGAGAGCAGCTGGCATGTAATAAGCACTAGTCAATGCTTAGCTATTATATTACTATTAGTGTATATTTTTATACAAAACAGATTATAGTAAATTATACTGTCATATTCATGATACCATATAAACTATGTCTTTGCCCTTAATATTTGTGGTTTTAAAACACTGGCCTCATTCTTAAGTATACTTGTATGACTGTATTTTGTGAACTTGGCTTTTTAAAAACATTTTTACAAGAGTATGATACATTACTTTCATAGGAACATAGGATTAATTTAAAATGTTGCTTGGGGGAAAATGTGACAAAAATATCTACTTGAGTAAATAGGGAAGCCTTAACTGTTTCTTTGAATCTGAGATAAAATTCATCCATCTCTACCACCATCCCTTCCTCAAGTAATCTATCCTCTTCTTCTGCCCTTCTATCTCATCCATTCTTCTATCCCTCTTTTTGTCCATCCATCCATCCATCCATCCACTCATCCACCTGTCCACCTATTCATCCATCTACTCATCCACCCGCCCACCCATCCATCCACTCATCCACCTATCCACCCATCTATCCATCCACCCATTCCCCCATCCATCTATTCACCCAGCCAGCCAGCCACCCGTCCATTCACCCACCCATCCACTCATCTACCCAACCGCCCACCCACACACTTATTCACCTATGCACCTATCTACTCATCCACCCACCCATCTATCCACCCATCCACCCACCCATCCACCCACCCATCCATCCATCCATCCATCCATCCATCCATCCATCCATCCATCCCCTGGTTCTATTTCTGGGGTTTGCAGTCTTTTATATACAGCATGCTAAGTTTCAGCCTCACTTCTTTTGCCTAGGAAAAGGAAAGGGTAGGAACATAACGTGAGTTGGCCCCAGGCTATCACTTCCCAAGTGGGCCAGAGGACCAGAACCTGTTGTGGAGGAAGTAGGCAAGAGGCAGTCCTTCCCAGGAAGGAAAAAAGAGAGTAAGGGGCATGTTTTATTCAATAAGAGCATTTGTCAGAACTAAAATTATCTTTGAATTTCAAGACATAGTTTGCCAATCTTGGGAATATAAAATAATGTCAGATTTGCACCCTAAATGTGGTAAATGTTACCCATGCTTTCGTGACGTCACAACTACCCTCACCATTATCACTCATACTTCCAATAATGATTTAATTATCTCATCTGCCTTTTAAAACTTTTCTTTACATTTCTCTTAGACACTTGGTCATGTCTAATGCAATTTTACATTTTAATTTGTTACTAGCCAAACAAGTATTTTATAATATTTTTGGATCATGATCATTTTAATACAATAAATAATTTTCATGAATTTTCAAATATTAGTAATAAGTAATTAAATATTTAGAGATCTATGAGTGTCATATGACTTTATGATAAGTTGTAACTAGCATAAATCATTTAAAGAGAAACATAGCAAATTCAATTCCAAAATAATACGCGAGTATCAATATAGCACAAATGGGTACTTATTTTAAAAATGTTTCTGAGTGATCATCTGAATGGAATGACCAAAATTGCATGTGTATTTTTGGAGAACACATTTTTCCATTTCTACACTCTTTAACCAGTTTTTGTTTGCTTGTGCAGTGATGCCACAGCTAGTGACTCCTAGACAGCAAAAGCCCCTATATTTAAGGACTTCGGAAATCCACGGAAACAGATGTTATTATGGCATATTAAAGGCTGTTGAATGAGGGGTGAACTAAGTACTCTATTGATAGTCTTTGATTTTTAATTCTTTCACGCTGTACTTGGTTTCCAGTTTAATATCACTGCTCAGTTAAATAGCATTGGCTTTGCATATTTATGAGTAATTAAGGACAAAATGCAGGGGACCCTCTGTGTTAAAAATTGTGAGCAGCGCAAATGGAAAACTGAAATGTAAAGAGTGTGAGCAGGGGCTTAGTAATTCTCATAATGGAAATTTAGTTCATTCACCTGAAGAGTAGATTGCTCAAATAAATTGATTTCGCTCCTTTAGAAAAGACAATAAATGATCAAGTCAACTTGGGAAACAGTGGTTCCTGTGGGTCAGCTGATGGTCCTTTTAAACTGGCAGAAAGATGTGGGTTCAGAAAGATGTACTTCAGGTACAGACTTCTTATTCAGCTTCTTAGGGTTGTTTAGGAGTTAATGGACTATTCAAAAAAGGTCAGAAGGGATTCAGTCCTGCTTGCCTAGAAATGTCTTATGCTCTTCCATTCATATCCAAAAGCCATCCACTATCCTCACACATATAGCAGAAGTCAAATGTTCAGTCTTTATTTAGCTTAAATTCTATATTAAGAGGAGCTAATAGCCAAGAGGAAGAAGACACCATAAAGTATATTTCTCCAAGAAAAGTGTGGAAATAGATTTTTAAAACTATACAAAATGAAGGCTTTTTTTTTGGCACTCTGCTTAATACATAATTTAAAACATAAATGAAGCACAGAAAATCAATAGTATCAAAGATGCTACTCTTTTATCTGATCCACTGAGCAATCTGTACCGTGTTGGTGGCTTTTTAGTGCTTTATAAAATGAAGGTCAGTATTTAGACACAGAGGACTACAGGAATTGTCACATCTCTCACAATAACTGCCATTGTTGGCTGAGTTTCAGCTATTGTAACAGTGAAGATCATGGATTTATAAAAGGCATTAAGCACAAGTAGAAAATACTCAAAACCTTATGTAAATATGTATAATTTGCTATATTCCATAGAAAATTTATGAGCAAATGTATTGATAGAAGGAAGATGAAAGAAACAAAGAAGTAGAAGAAGATAGAAGGAAAGAAAATTTAATAGGTTGTTTCTGCAAAATGTAGCACTTAATGGTAAACATGCTCTTTCCTTACTTTTTTATAACTTTTTCCCTAGTGTTTTCATGCATGTCAGATTGATATTATATATTTATAAGTCTAACTCTCTAAAATAGTAAAGCATTTTAATACATTGCTAAAATAATATCTATTTTTAAATCTTGCCAATAATTAAGGTACAGGAATAAAATAAACCTAAAATAGAAATATTCCTCTTATTCACTTAGACTAACTCTCCTGGTCT